AAAACACAAGCAAATGCAATAAAAGAGACATCATAAGAAAGAGGAGATGAAATTAAACAACTTTTATTGAAATAAGCAAGTGCAAATACAAAGAGATTATCCAGGATCTAGGATTCAAGAAGCAAGAGCTTCAAGAACACAAAGATGGGATTAGATCTCTAAAAAGTAAAAGACAATAAATTAAAAGAAACTAAAACAAAATAATCTAAAGCTTGGTGGTTTTTTCGTGGCTTAGAGCCTTTAAATACAAAGAGGATTAGGTTTAGGGTCAAAGGAAGTCAAGGGGGAAGCAACATTTTTCGGGTTTGACTTTGACTCCCCAGCTCGATCGAGTTGAAGCTTGGCCGGTCGAGTTGAGGAACTCGACCGGTTGGTCGAGTGACGGTCGAGCTGGTCTTCAAGATGGCTTCTCCCTTCTTCCTTTGCGTATCCAGTTGAGCTGCTTCCATGTGCCAAGTCCCTCCATGCTCCTTGTGTCCCATATGCTCCAGAATGCTCCAAAAGACCTATTTCAAAGGACCAAACATGCATATGTATGCAAATGCAACCTAAAACTAACATGAATGCATAAGAAGAGAAAAGGAACAAGATATGATGCAAATGGAAAGCTAAAACTATGCAAAAGATGCATAAAAGATGTGCTAAAACTATGTAAAATGCAAGTACATCAACACCCCCAAACTTGAACTTTGCTTGCCCTCAAGCAAACAAATAGAACAAGAAAGAGATGAGGTTTGAAAATAGCTGATTCAACACTTAAAAACATGTCCTCAAAAGCGATTTGCTAAATGTCCAACTTAGAGATTCTAGAATGCAACAAGGTGAGAGATATTCATTAAGATTTAACCATGCTTATCAACATCAATCCCACTTCACAGTCACTCAAACAGTGCATTCAAATCAGCAAATCCCTTTAACATTCATTAAGCAAAAACAGTGAACCAAAAACATGCAAGATCAATCAACTCATTTGGTTTCAAGGGTTTATGGGTTAAGAGACAAAGAGGGTCTCTTTTGTATGGTGGTTTAGTAACAGGGATCTCTCAAGAAAGTGGCTTTGCTTTGGCAGAAGGCTAAGTGTTAGAACCAAAGATGATGCAAGAACAGCAGCTCGAGCCGCCTAATCCTAACTCGATCGAGTTCAACACTTAGAGCTTTTTAGAACAAAATCCTAACTACCCTTTTTGGCATTTCGCCTTTGAAACTGAGGAGCTTTGCTCACTTTTCTTTTAAGAACTTCCTAGGGAGAGGCTTCTTGAGGTAACATCTAGCGGTTTGGGATTTTCTAAACACTTAGGGAACTTTTCTTTCCTTTTTGGACACTTGAGGCTTTGCCTTCTTTTCATTCTACTTAGAACCCTTTTTACTTTCCTTTTTTAACTTCCCAAACCTTTACTAGACCCTTTTTAAACACTGCCAACTCCCTGGACTTAACCAAACTCTTTTTCCTTTGGGTTTTTCCCAACTTTTACCACTTTTCTGGTTTTTACACCCAACTCGATCGAGCTCGAGTTGGCACCCCCAAACTTAGCCTGAAAACAATCCCAAGAGAACTAGACAACTAGAACTACTGCCCCTGCCGGTTTAAACACAACACCTTATGCTAAGCAAAGCCAAGAAAGGTTCTCACATTCGCACAAGAGATAATAATGGGGTTTGAAATGAAAAAGGCTTAGGTTTAAGGTGTGGTAACTGTCTCAAAGATAGAGATCAGCTATCTGGACAAGCAAAAGGGATATGAAAATGGTAAAGAATGTCCAGATATGTATGTGGTAGCCATGAGTTGAAATCAAATGCAAGCATTGGTAATTAAAGATCAAGTTATGGTTCAAATAGATAGGGAAATGCATCAAATCACAGCAATGGTTGAATGAGATGTGCATGCAGTGATATGATCAAGATAAACATGGTTCTTGCTGCTCAATCAATCTCACCCTAATGCACAAAAGAATCTAAAAACAGGGCACTCAAGAAATCGCAAAAGATGGACAAGTTTTCAAAGTCAAATCAACAATGCAAGTGAAAAATGCAATCCTAAACAAGTCTAACAAATATGAATGCAAAAAGATGAAAATATTTTTGGATTTTTTGAAAATTTTATGATTTTTTTGGTTTTTCTATGCAAAAGATAAATGAAAAACTAAGAACAAAGAAAACAAGGTTAAATCATCTCTTGAACCCTCCCCCAAACTTAAATCACACAGTCCCTTGTGTGAGAAAAATTTAGTGAAAGATTCAAGAGGGCAAAACCAAGAAAAAACAAGAACAAATGCAAGAAAATATGAAATGGTATATACAAGGGTTGGTGTTTGGATACCTCAGTGTCCCCCAAAGAACTGGGAGACTAGGTCGTGGTCTGGAGATGGGAGACGGCCATCAGGAGCACTCCATGCAACTGGGTTGCTCTTGTGGCTCACTCGATCGAGCTTGTGGCTCCTCTTCCTCCTCTTCTTCATCGTTGAAATGTGTGTGGCTTCCTTGGCCTTGGTGGAGCATTGGTAGCTCGTACTGTCCATAGGGGTTCCATCTACTCCGGGGAGGCTCCTGGTAAGGCATGGGATCGTATTCAAATCCCGGATCCTCGAACTGGGGCTCCTCCAGGTCAGCTCGACCGTCAGCTCGATCGAGTTGAGTTTCCTCTGTTTGGACTCGATCGAGTCCGGTGGTCGAGCTGGAGCGTCTGGCCTTGGAAGTCTTCCTCCTTCTCTGCGTGTTGTCTTCTCCTTCCCTTGGCTCGAAAGAAGAGGCTCTGTGAGGCTCTTGGGCAGGGAGCCTCCTTGAGTGGTGAGGAGTGACTACTCCTAGGGAATGTGGGGCCTTGGACTTCTTCTTCTTGCTTGAAGAACCAGAAACTTCTTCTCCAAGCTCTTGATCTTGCTCACCATCTTGTCCATGGACTTTTGCATCTTCTCAATGGCTTTCCCTTGCCATTTGTTGAACTTTTGGAGAAGTCCAATCCTCTTGTGGCAGCCACAACAGAGGGGTTCATCCTTGGAGCCTCATACTCCTCAAAGTAATAGCACTCAGGCTCACCCAAATCCGCTTTCCTGCACTCATCTTCAGCTTGAGCCTCAGCTCGATCCTCAGCTCGATCGAGCTCGATCTCTTCTTCGCAAATCATCTTCATGCCCAACTAATGTGTACACAGGGGGTCTGAAGTCAATGTTCTCACCCCTAGACTGTGGTGAGCTCTGGGTTGGGCAGGAGAAGCTTGGAGAGTCCAGCCAATGGGTGTGAACTTGAATTGGAATCTCCCATCCAACTCCTTGTGCTCAATGAGGAGGTTGGTCTTGCAAAACTTGATGTCCATCCAACCTGGTTCAGTGGCCTCTCTTGTCCAGTTGACTCCAGCAGCACAAAGATAGGTGTGATCACCCTCCAACACTAAGCTTTCTTCCTCTTTGGTGCCTAGTGTTGTAAGCTGTGACTTGTAGGTGGAGCTGGTCAAGGAGAGGCATCAGTTCCCTGTGTGTCCCTATCTCCCTGATCCTTCTTCCCATCCTTGTGCGTGAGATGATAGGCTTGATTCCCATGTCAAGGAGCTTGACTTCTCCCTCATTGATTGTCCAGTGCTTTCCTTGCAAAGAAGGTGTTGGCAAGAGCCTTGTGCACATATCTAAGACTGGGCTCCTGATCTGAGCTGCCTTGGACCTTGAGGAAGAGTACCCCTCAGCGATTGTAGCCCAAACCCTTTGGAGTTCCTTTTCCTTGATGTTCCACTTGGTTACCTCTCCATAGTTGAACCCAAACAAGATCTCCAAGCTGCCTAAAGGTCACCATCTCTTCTCTCCCTTAGCTAAGAACGTGATCCCCCAATCCTTGGTCCAACTCAGCTCGATCGAGCTCTCATAATGTGACCTCATTGAAGCCAAAACTCACAAGTGAGCTCCTTGTAGACTCCATGCGGTGAGAGAAGAACTTGGCCAAGTGCATGTTCTTGAGACCAACTCCACATCCTCAAAGATTCCAAGGGCCTTCATGTGTCAACATGTGGGTACTTGGTCTCCACAAGTCCATGGAGAAGAGAGCATTGTAGTGCTCTTGGTACATGGGGAGCTCATCCTCCTCTTGCTCTTCCTCAGCCTCTTCCATTGGCTCATCTTGGTTCCCTCTTGGTCATCTTCATCAACCAATTGGTTCACCTCTTCTCCTTCCTCTCACTCTCAGTTCATCACTCCTTCTTCATTTGGAGAGCCATTTCCCTCCTCTTGAACAAGGTTCACTCCAATCTCAAACTCTCCTTGCTCACTCTCACTACTAATAGGGTCATTCCTCTTCTTGGTTCTCCTTTCTTCCCTCAACCTCTCACTCTCAGACTGTTCCTCAGAGTAGACATATCCTCTGCATCAGATTCTTCCATCCTCTGATCCATCCTCTCCAAATCGGCTTGCATCTTAAGCCTTGTCTCTCTTGCATTGCTTGACTTCACCCTCAACCATTCTCCTCTGTGAAGCGGCTTCCCTCACTGTTTGTCATCCTTGTTACTCTGTTTCTTCACTAAAGTACCTGAAATGCATCAAAGATTACAAAGAATTAGAGTTGTAATGATCGGTTTGGTCAACTCGACACTCAGCTCGATCGAGTCAAAAAACTCGAGTGACAAACTCGATCGAGTTGGGTGAAAACAGAGTATAACCAAACCTAATTCAAGTATTAAGAGCTGGAAAGGATGCTAATCAATCAAATTGAACCAAGAACAACTAGTAAATGGAACAATGAGCAATTCTAGTGAAAGTACTAAGCATCTTAACCAAAACCAAACTCAAATTCAATTTTCAAGCACATGCAACAAGTTTAAAGGCAAAACAGAGGTGAGGTGAAACAAACTAACAAGATTATACAGCAGAGGCGAAATATGAGCAATTACTCAAGAACAAGTCCACAAGGGACACATGCAATCAAAAATCAAAGAGAAACAAGCAATAGTGAAATCGAGATGGATGAATGAAGGGTTTTAGGGTTCATACCTTGTTGAATGATGGAATTGAAGAGCAGTAAACAAAACCCAAGCAAAACAAGAAGAACAAGAAATCGCAAAAACTTGAGAGAAAAAGTTGAAAATTCGATTTTCTTGTGGTGAAGAGAGAGAGAGAGATTTCAGAAATTGAGTGTGGGAGAGAGAAGGTGGATTCGATCGAGTTATGGGGAAGAGAGTGTTTGAGATGTGTGGTTGAGATTAAAAGATGAAATAAAGAGGGAACAAGAAACTAGGGATTCTCTGATCAAATTAGGGTAGTGGGGGACCAAAATCAGCTTGTGGGACCCACTCCCTTGACCAAGAAAACGGTTATGAATTTGAAATTCAAAAACTTACCTCGGTCGAGTTGTGGAGCTCGATCGAGTTGCCCTGGTTTCTAGCTCGATCGAGCTATCGGTCGAGCTGGCTCCTTGACACCTAAACTTAACTTATTCAAAGGTTAAAAACATAAAGATAGATAGAAATTGCATAAATAGAGTATGTACAAGGATAAACATGGGACTTCCTCCCAAGTGAGCTTGTTTAAGGTCCCATAGCTTGACCTTTACCTTCTTAGGCATTGGTTGAGCTAGTCCCACCATCAAGGGTGATAGTGAGGACTTGAGACAGAAGCTCCTTTAGCTTGGTTGGGTCCCTGGACTGTTCTGAAGTCACCAAGGCCTTGGCTCTAGAGAATGGCCTTGATCTCCCCTTGTACCTTATCTTGTACTCAATCTTCCCATTTTCAAACTTGGTGGGGAACAAAGTCATTGTGAGCTGAGATGGCTTGACTGAAGGGGCCTGAGCTGGTGGATCCTTTCTTTTATCTCCTGGTCTTGCCTTAGAGGCTGCATCCTCCCCTTCTTTTAGAGCCCTTCCTAGTGGCTCATCAAACAAAGCTTGAAGGCTCTCTTCATCAAGCACACAAGGGGCTTGAACAAGTCTCTCAGCTCTTGGCCTATCAGATCGTGGTTTCTCAACTCTAGCCCTCTCAAGACGTGGCTTCTCAATCCTTGGTCCTCTCTCATCCTTATCCTTCCCAACTCTTGGTTCCTTGTCAACCCTTTCCTTCACAACCTTTGTAGCTCCATGACTCTTAGAACTGAGATTGGTACTGTCAATTGTGGCACAAAAGTCTGAACCTCTAGGCTGCAAGCGATATGACACCAAACTATTCACCTTGTGAAGGATCACTTCTTGCTTGTGAAAGTCTATTGAAGCGCCAACTGTACTAAGGAAAGGGGTTCCCAATAACAAAGGCAAATCCTTCTCTTCTTCCATTTCCATCACAGTGAGATCAGTTTGGATGATGCATTCTCCAATTTTCAAGTGATAGTTCTTGAACACTCCAAGAGGAGACTTAGAAGTTGCATCTCCAAACATGATTGAAGTAGTAGGGCGCTGCAAGGCTCCAGCAATGCCTAGCTTCTCTGCCATGGAGAGAGAGATCAGATTGATGCTTGCTCCAGAATCCACTAAGGCATTGTCAATCTCAAGATGCCCAAGTGTGCAAGGGAGAGTGAATTTCCCTTGATCCTTGACCTTTGGTAGGAAGGTGGGTGAAGTAAGCAGGTTGAACTGATGAGTAGACTCTTGTAGGACCTCTGAAACTTTATCACTGTTGGCTAGAACATCCTTGACCATTTGCATTTGATCAAATGCCTCACTCATGCTATCCATAGTAGGCAACTCAATTCCAATCCCACTGAGATCTCTTCTGAACTTGTGAATCACTTCCTTGTGACCTTGACTAAGTAGGCGAGACGAGGAAGCGGCAACCGGTTGATAAGGATCAAGCAAAACAGGCTGTCGGACAGAAGAGGTCGGACTCGATCGAGCTAGAGTTGGACTCGATCGAGCTGCCGATCGAGCTTGTCGTGCGAGCTCAACTGGTGAAGTGTGAATGGCCACAGTAGGTGCATGCACTTCTGGTTGATCAATCTGGACTCCAGGAGCCTCAGCAGCAACAATCTCTTCATCATTCAGCAGTAAACAAAAATCTTCAATGACCCTTTCTTGATCCTCTTCTTCAACAAGTCCTTCTTGAGTGAAGATGACCTTGCACTGTTCCTTGGGGTTCTGAATAGCTTTACCAGGTAGTTGTCCTTGCTTTGTAGCAGCAGCAACAGAAGAAGCATGATTCTCCAGAGAGTAAACCCTTGTGTTGAGGTTCTCGATCTTAGAGTTTATTTCAGCTAGCTTCTTGCTTGTGTCCACTACCCCATCAGCTTGCCCTTGAAGTAGTTGCTTTAGCATTGCTTTGAGCTCATTCTCTTGTGAAGGTGCAGGCTGGGGCGGTTGGTGGGGGAAGCCTGGTGGGATATTCATTTGTTGTCCAGGGAAAGTGCCTTGTGGTCCTTGGTAATTGTTCTTTTGACCATACCCATGTTGTGGCACCTGACTCGATCGAGCTGCTTGTTGTTGAGGATATACTTGGTCCTGAGGGTTAGCAACATCAGTGTTGCGGTATGACATGGCAGGGTTGGACTTGTAGTTATAGTATCCTTTGTTGTAACCTCCTTGCCCATTGCTCATGTAGCACACCTCAGCAAATTGTGTATCCTCCCCTTCTTGGACTGGTTCCATCTCCTCAGCAGACACAAAGTTGACTTTCTTCATTGTGGACTGAGCTAGGATCAGCTTATCCAACTTCTCATTCAATGCCTTAACATCTTTTCTCAACTTTTCGTCTGACTCGATCGAGTGGTGGGTCGAGCTCCGGTTGGTGCGATCATACTCTTCTCCATAGCTTCCATTTGAGTTAGCTATGTTCTCCACAAGTTGCCAGCCATCATCTACATCCTGGTTGAGGAAGTTCCCATTGCTAGCTGTGTCTAGCATCTCCCTATACCTAGGCAAGCATCCTCTATAAAGAGTGGAGAGTAGGATTCATTGTTGAATCCATGGTGTGGGCACTGACTTGTGTAGCCTTTGAACCTCTCCCAAGCCTCTGCGAATGTCTCATTGTTTCGCTGGATGAAGCTGGATATCTCTCCTCTAAGCTTGGCTGTGCGACCGGTGGAGAAAAACTTAGCAAGAAAGGCCTTCTTGCATTCATCCCAAGTGGTGATTGTGCCATGGGGCAAGCTCTTCTCCCATTGCGTATCCAGTTGAGCTGCGTCCATGTGCCAAGTCCCTCCATGCTCCTCATATCCCATTTGCTCCAGAATGCTCCAAAAGACCTATTTCAAAGGACCAAACATGCATATGTATGCAAATGCAACCTAAAACTAACATGAATGCATAAGAAGAGAAAAGGAACAAGATATGATGCAAATGGAAGCTAAAACTATGCAAAATATGCATAAAAGATGTGCTAAAACTATGTAAAATGCAAGTACATCAACACCTTAAGAAAATCCGAAATCCTCTCACCCTCTCTTAAGTTTTTCGATTTTTCAATGTTCATCATCTTGTTTTGCTTGGGCTCTAGTTACTGTTCTTCAATTCATCATTCAAGCAATGTATGAACCCTAAAACCCTTGAATCCTTCATCTCGATTTCCATTATTGCTTGTTTCCCCTTTGATTTTTGATTGCATGTGCCCCTTGTGGGCTTGTTCTTGAGTAATTGCTTTCATATCTTCTCCTGCTTATAGTTTTGTGAATTTGCCTCACCTCACCTCTGTTTTACCATTGAAACTTGTTGCATGTGCTTGAAAACATTGAATTTGAGTTTGGTATTGGTTAAGATGCTTTGTTCTCACTAGAATTGCTCATTGTTCCATTTACTTGTTGTTCTTGGTTCAATTTGATTGATTAGCATCCTTTCCAGCTCTTAATACTTGAATTAGGTTCGGTTATACTCTGTTTTCACCTAGCTCGATCGAGTTTGTCACTCGAGTTTTTTGACTCGATCGAGCTGAGTGTCGAGTTGACCAAACCGATCACAACTCTAATTCTTTGTAATCTTTGATGCATTTCAGGTACTTTAGTGAAGAAACAGTAACAGAGATGACAAACAGTGAGGGAAGTCCGTGCTTCACAGAGGAGAATGGTTGAGGGTGAATCAAGCAATGCAAGGAGAAGGCTTAAAATGCAAGCCGATTTGGAGAGAATGACTCAAAGGATGGAAGAGTCTGATGCAGAGGGATATGTCTACTCTGAGGAGAGTCTGAGAGCGAGAGATTGAGGGAGGAAAGGAGAACCAAGAAGAGGAATGACCCATTAGTAGTGAGAGTGAGCAAGGAGAGTTTGAGATTGGAGTAAACCTTGTTCAAGAGGAGGGAAATGGCTCTCCAAATGAAGAAGGAAGTGATGAGACTGAGAGTGAAGAGGAAGGAGAAGAGGTGAATCAATTGGTTGATAAGAGTGAGCAAGAAGTAACCAAGATGAGCCATGGAGAGGCTGAGCCACAAGAGGAGGAGGAAAAACTCCCTATGTACCAAGAGCACTACAATGCTCTCTTCTCCATGGACTTTGTGGAGACCAAGTACCCACATGATGACACAATGAAGGCTTGGATCTTTGAGATGTGGAGTTGGTACTCAAGAACATGCAATTGGCAAGTTTTCTCTCACCGCATGGAGTCCTACAAGGAGCTCACTTGTGAGTTTTTGGCATCGATGAGGTATCACCAATTGATGAGATCGATCGAGCTGAGTTGGACCAAGGCTGGGGATGGATTACTTTCTTGGCAAAGGGAGAGAGGAAGATGGTAACCTTCAGGCAGCTAGAGATACTCTTTGGTTCACTTATGGAGAAGGAAACCTATGGAATATCAAGGAGATGAACTCCAAAGAGTATTGGGCTACAATCGCTGAAGAGGGTACTCTTCCTCAAGGTCAAAGGCTGCCCAAATCAGGAGCCCAGTGCTGAGGTATGTCCACAAGTTTGCCAACACCTTCTTTGCAAGGAAGGCCACTGGTACAATCAATGAGGGAGAAGTCAAGCTCCTTGACATGGGAATTAAGCCCATCATCTCACGCACAAGGGATGGGAAGAAGATCAGAGGAGATAGGGCACACGCAGGAAACTTCATGCCTCTCCTTGAGCAGCTGCTCTCCTACAAGGTCACGGCCTACAACACTCGGCAAAAGGGAAGGAAACTTAGTGTTGGAGGGTCATCACGCCAATCTTGTGCAGCTGGAGTCCAACTGACAAGAGAAGGTGTCAACTCCAGCTGGATGGATGGACATCAAGTTTTGCAAGACCAACCTCCTCATTGAGCACAAGGAGTTGGATGGGAGGTACCAATTCAAGTTCACACATCCATTGGCTGGCCCTTCCAAGCTTCTCCTGCCCAACCCAGAGCTCACCACAGTAGTCAGGGGTGAGAACATCGACTTCAGACCCCCTGTGTACACTTAGTTGGGCATGAGGATGAGTTGCGAGAAGAGGAGCCTGAACTCGATCGAGCTGAGGATCAGCTGAGGTCAAGCTGAGGATCGAGCCAGGAGATGCGGATTTGGGTGAGCCTGATGTTACTATTTTGAGGAGTATGAGGCTCCAAGGATGAACCCCTCTGTTGTGGCTGCCCACAAGAGGATTGGACTTCTTCAAAAGTTCAACAAATGGCAAGGGAAGGCCATTGAAAAGATGCAAAAGTCCATGGACAAGATGGTGAGCAAGATCAAGAAGTTTGGAGAAGAAGGTTTCTGGTTCTTCATCCAAGAAGAAGAAGGCAACCATGGCCCCCACATTCCTAGGAGTAGATCTCTCCTCACCACTCCAAGGAGGCTTCCTACCCAAGAGCCTCACAGAGCCTCATCATTTGAGCCAAGGGAAGGAGAGGACAACTCGCAGAGAGGAGGAAGAGTTTAAGGCTCGACGCTCTAACTCGAAAATCCAAAGAAAAGAGTTTAGTTAAGTCCAGGGAGTTGGCAGTGTTAAAAGGGTCTAGTAAAGGTTTGGGAAGTTAAAAAAAGGAAGTAAAAAGGGTTCTAAGTAGAAAGAAAAGAAGGCAAAGCCTCAAGTGTCAAAAAGGAAAGAAAAGTTCCCTAAGTGTTTAGAAAATCCCAAACCGCTAGATGTTACCTCAAGAAGCCTCTCCCTAGGAAGTTCTTAAAAGAAAAGTGAGCAAAGCTCCTCAGTTTCAAAGGCGAAATGCCAAAAAGGGTAGTTAGGATTTTGTTCTAAAAAGCTCTAAGTGTTGAACTCGATCGAGTTAGGATTAGGCGGCTCGAGCTGCTGTTCTTGCATCATCTTTGGTTCTAACACTTAGCCTTCTGCCAAAGCAAAGCCACTTTCTTGAGAGATCCCTGTTACTAAACCACCATACAAAAGAGACCCTCTTTGTCTCTTAACCCATAAACCCTTGAAACCAAATGAGTTGATTGATCTTGCATGTTTTTGGTTCACTGTTTTTGCTTAATGAATGTTAAAGGGATTTGCTGATTTGAATGCATTGTTTGAGTGACTGTGAAGTGGGATTGATGTTGATAAGCATGGTTAAATCTTAATGAATATCTCTCACCTTGTTGCATTCTAGAATCTCTAAGTTGGACATTTAGCAAATCGCTTTTGAGGACATGTTTTTAAGTGTTGAATCAGCTTTTTTCAAACCTCATCTCTTTCTTGTTCTATTTGTTTGCTTGAGGGCAAGCAAAGTTCAAGTTTGGGGGTGTTGATGTACTTGCATTTTACATAGTTTTAGCACATCTTTTATGCATCTTTTGCATAGTTTTAGCTCCATTTGCATCATATCTTGTTCCTTTTCTCTTCTTATGCATTCATGTTAGTTTTAGGTTGCATTTGCATACATATGCATGTTTGGTCCTTTGAAATAGGTCTTTTGGAGCATTCTGGAGCATATGGGACGTGAGGAGCATGGAGGGACTTGGCACATGGACGCAGCTCAACTGGATACGCAAAGGAAGAAGGGAGAAGCCATCTTGAAGACCAGCTCGACCGTCTACTCGACCAACCGGTCGAGTTCCTCAACTCGACCGGCCAAGCTTCAACTCGATCGAGCTGAGAAGTCAACAGTCAAACCCGAAAAATGTTGCTTCCCCCTTGACTTTCCTTTGACCCTAAACCTAATCCTCTTTGTATTTAAAGGCTAAGCCACGAAAAAACCACCAAGCTTTAGATTACTTTTTGTTTTAGCTTTTAAAGTCTTAATCCCATCTTTGTGTTCTTGAAGCTCTTGCTTCTTGAATCCTAGATCCTGGATAATCTCTTTGTATTTGCACTTGCTTATTTCAATAAAAGTTGTTTAATTTCATCTCCTCTTTCTTATGATGTCTCTTTTATTGCATTTGCTTGTGTTTACATTCATGTGTAGTGAGTAGTTACCCATTAGGGTTTGAGATGGGATAGATTAGAGGTTTCATATGCTTAATCCTTCTAGCTTATGGTCTTAATCTAGATTCTCTCTCTTTTGGATAGATCTTAAGGCTACATGACCACTACCCCTGGCTTGTAAGTCCTTAGGCGATTCTCCCCACACGAAAGTGATGGCATTCGCTGGAAAAGATCCACTAAGAGCTCCAATATCTCTTGCTCTAGAAATAGAGGTCTAAGGGGTTGGATGGATTAGTTTGGGCAATGATCCTATGGCCTCCAAGGTTTGATTCTCACTGGCTAACCCCCTGTTTCTGAGATCATTCCTTGGTTGATAGCCTTCACCTTGGGAAAGGGTTGGCTAGGCATTGAGAAGCCCAATATCAAGAGAAGCCTTGATACAAGGAGTTTTAAGAGCTAGATTGATTAAGTGTAGATTCCTTTGATTGCAAAACCCTGTCTTGAACCCTAATTCTCTCTTATCTTGTTAAAGTCGTCACCTTTAGCTTTTTTTCAACTCGTCCCTAAACTCGATCGAGCTGGTACTGTTCCACTCGACTCGAGTCTTGGTCGAGCTGTTGCTCTGCTTTGTTTACTTTTATTGCATTGCATTTCATTTTATTTAGGTTGTTAGTGTTACTTCAAATCTATTACTGCTTGCTTGACTTCCTGGTTGTTTCATATTCTCATAGAGTGACAAGTTTCCCATTTTGGATTGATAACCTTACTATAATGGTTAAAGGGAATTGTTGACTGTGTTTGTGTTTGCATCTTACCACCTCATCATATACCACTGTTGCATTCCACCACATCTCATTTCATATCTTTCACATCCACACACAAATCCTATCATCAATAGGTCCTTCCGGGTAAGTGAGGTCTTGCCGAAGGTATTCTACTCGTTCTGGTTCGATGTTTGGATTCGCCACATGTTTCCTCAGCATGGAAACATGGAATACAGGATGCAAATTCATTTCTGAAGGTAGTTCCAATCGGTAAGCTACGAAACCTACTTTTCCGATGATCTTGTATGGTCCGATATAGCGCACTGCAAGTTTGCCAATCTTTCCAAACCTATCAACCTAAAAATAATGAAAAGCAGTGCAATAAAAGTAAACAAAGCAGTGAAGCGTCAGCTCGACCAAGAGCTCGAGTCGAGCTAGAGCAAAGTACCAGCTCGATCGAGTTTAGGGACGAGTTGAGACAAACAAAGCCAAAGGTGACGACTTTAACAAGATAAAGAGAGAATTAGGGTTCAAGACAGGTTTTTGCAATCAAAGGAATCTACACTTAATCAATCTAGCTCTTAAAACTCCTTGTATCAAGGCTTCTCTTGATATTGGGCTTCTCAATGCCTAGCCAACCCTTTCCCAAGGTGGAGGCTATCAACCAAGGAATGATCTCAGAAACAGGGGGTTAGCCAGTGAGAATCAGACCTTGGAGGCTATAGGATCATTGCCCAAACTAATCCATCGAACCCCTTAGACCTCTATTGTCTAGAGCAAGAGATATTGGAGCTCTTAGTGGATCTTTTCCAGCGAATGCCATCACTTTCGTGTGGGGAGTCGCCTAAGGACTTACAAGCCAGGGGTAGTGGTCATGTAGCCTTAAGATCTATCCAAAAGAGAGAGAATCTAGATTAAGACCATAAGC